AGACCCTACAATTAGCTTTGAAGAACAGTTATGGCGCTGGAAAAAAGTGTACAACTTGCACTATAATTTGAATGAGGAATGTTAAGCACTTAATTTGTGCCAATTATTTTCCTGTCGCATTATCAATCATCAAAAGTCTAATTTATTAAAACTTTGATTTGTATTTACAAATAAAAAGTTGTAGAGGCAGTCTAGAAAGAAGAAAAGCGTGGCAAGAAACAGGCCAATTGACCAAATGAGAAAGATTGACTTGACATCGGTCAGCTTCAGCACTTTGATATTCTGCTTGAGCAGGTCATTCTCCTCATTCTGTCTGTCAGTGAACCAGTACACAAACAGTCCCACTTCTTGCATCTGAGTGACCCTACAAAGTTGCAAATAGTAACTGAAACTTGTTTAAATTCTTTCAGACAGACACACTTACACTCTACTAAAAGCTTCCAGCAAGGGCGACTTCTTTGGCAGCACAATACCGGTGAACAGGTTGTCCAGGCTTTCGCCGACGTGATACACCTTAGTCTTAATGAATCGATTCTTGAGGTAGGCCAAACTGGCGATGGCCACCACCTTCCGGTCGGCGTCAATGCGCTCAAACTCCTCGCGTTCATCGCTGAACATGCTCTCCCCTGTTCGGTTGATGTGCCTGCCAATGGCGTGGAAGAGCGTGTGCTCCTGAGGGGCGCCCATGAATGCGCTGTAGTAGCTGGAGTCCTTCATGGTGATGATCCGGTGGCTGTCGCTGTCCGCCGCTCTCCGCAGGTCGTACAGCGTGTCAATGGTCGGCTCCAGAGAGGGTATCGTCAGGTGGGAGTAGAAGCTGGAGGAGTAGAGATTGACGAGAATGAAGGCGGCCACAATCCACACGGCAAACAACAGGCGGACGGGAACTCTGGCGGGGCTTTTTACGCTGGCGATGGCTAAATGTAGAAGCAAAAAGGTGTGTGATCATCATCAAGCACAAAGGCAGCATTTCAATTACTGCCACAACTTACACTGATTCAGGCAGACGCCATAGAGGCGGAGCAGCAACTGTCTACAGGCGGCGGCACTTCTCTGGGCAAGTGAGCAGTAGAGCAGGAGGAAGACGGCGGCGAATGAGAGGAGTATGGGCAGCCAAATGGCCCAAGGAAATGGCTTCACTTCGATCCACTCTCGCTTGATGAGACGGGGCATTTGCATGATGAATGACATTTCATCGTAGAAAATGTACGGCGTGAAATCGATAACCTCCCAGCGCTCTAGTGAGCGGGTAATGCCGCAAAGTGCGAAGGAAGAGTGCTGTGCGTCATTGAGGGACGAAAATGAAAAAAAACTATCATTTAGTTGTGTGCCCTCGGTTTCAAGGCCAGCTCATTCATTCACTCATTCACTCATACCCCATTTACGACGCTGCCGATGGCGCCATTCCAGGAGCCATTCACCTGAATGCCCCACACATTGTGACTGTCCACCAAGTGGGCGCGAAAGTTGATCTTCCTCTGCAACTCTTTCAGCAGCTCACCTTCCAGTGAGAAACGCAGCGACACTGAGCCACTTGCGTGCCTTTGAAGGTCACAAAATGGTGGCCACTAGGGAAATGGTTAATGAGTCTTTTTTAAAAGTTCCGAACAGTGCACTGAAAAATACCGTACGTGATTGACGGATACATTGAGCAGTGTGCCGTTCAGATCACATCTTTTCACATCCATCTTCAGCTGTTGCCAGTCGGCTTTTGTTTTCGGTTCTAGTACTCCGCTGCTCCTAGTGCAGCCTTTCACTACTGCATTGACGTGTATCACGGTGCTTCCATTTATCAGTATCACCAATTGAAAACTTTCTGGGAGATTCCTCACAGCCGATTCGATGACTGAAGTGGAGGTGTTTGAGAGCAAAACGATCAAAGGGTGACATTTGTTGCATCGCTGGTAAAAGGCGGAAAGGCGGGTAAAGGCGATGGTAAGCTGTACTTTACTCAGAGTTTGGCTCGACCGACAGTCAACAATCACGTAAATACTTTGGATGTTTAGCTTATCGGCAAAAAGTGCCTCGAAAACGCTCAAGTTTGAAAAGGATGCAAGGTGAGTGTAATGAATGTGATGCTGATGTAAAAACTCGTTGATTGTAGTTTGTCGGTTTGCCGGTGATGTGTAGTCAATGAGAAACAAGTGATTCGACGTTTTCGAATTGCTGAAATATCGAATCAAGTACTCGCCGAGGGAAATGTCTCCAAAATACTGTGGCATTGATTTCACATGACTGCCGGGAAATAAAAGTACAATCGAAAAAGAAAGAAAAAGAAATGTTCTCTCGTTAAGTGCTGATTTAGGCACAAAAGACATTTTCTGTTAAAATCAAATTAACAACTTATTGATTAGTTCAGCGAGTGAAAAGTGTGCGCTTGAAGCACTGCTTTCTGAGAATTTGTCAATGCAGGGCAAAAACATTAAAGTAGCAATTAGTTTTTCTTTTATGCTGCTAATAAAAAATTCATCGATATTAAAAAAATTGTGAAGAGCAAGTTAATTGTTTTTTGAAAACAATGTCGTAAATGTTATACTCATTTTTTAACAAAATTAAAAGTTTTGATTTTAAAACAGTTTTTAAATATTTGGTAAGATTTTTTATTTTTAGTTTCTGTTTTGTAATTCATTTTATTCAGTTAAATTTGTGAATTTGTTTTGCAAAACAGCTTTGCTTTAATGATCTAAATCTTTATTGTATTTTTTAGCAATTCCAAGAGAATGAGCTAATGACTTATAAATCAAATGAAAAAACATTTTTACTGAGAAATAAATGTGTTTGACAACAACAAGATTTTATTTTGCACTCAATTTTTTTCTGTAAACTGTAAGTTACTACGGAGTACATCCTCAACGTTTCTTTGGAAACAGCAGAAGTTAACCAACGCAATAAAATCATCTTTAATAAATGGGAAAATGATAAATAGTATTATCAGAAAATAGTGATCATTTTGAATGTACAAAAAAGAGAGAATGAATATGAGTGCAGGTCACATTGAGTAGAACATGACTGTGATGAGATTAACTTGACATGGTAAAACTAGTAGCCATTATTCAGGGCCAGAGAGCCGTACTCGCCGGCTGACGTTCCCAGTGATGGGCCGGAGACAATTCGACCTCCACCGCTACCGCTGAGTCGGGCAGAGTATCCACTGCCACCGAAGCCTCCTCCACCACTGCCTCCAAATCCACCAATACCACCACCTCCTCCTCCTCCGCTTATCAGCACTGGAGCGGCGACAGGAACGGCGGCCACTGCGGGACTGGCCTTAGCAACCACGGTGTTGATTTCCTCCTGTGCTCACAAACAAAAAACAAATTAATTTGAATCGCGCTGAGAAATGATGCCATTTTAAAATGTACCATCACGGGTCTCACTTCTTGCGTAATCTACAGGCAGTAACAAAGGCAGTTAGATAAATTGTCAGGCTGGTTATTAGTTTAAAATATGTGAGCTGACCTTTCGAAATGGAGTGATAATTTCATGAATCTAAAATTGAAAAAAAGTAAATTAAGTTAGTTGTCGTTTGCGCATGATTTAGAAGTTCAGTCTACCTCTTGAATCACTGAAATTAAAAAATCCTTGTTAATATTAAGGTTTTAACATCATTGCTATTAAATGTCTACCTGGCTTTTTGATCACATGCAGATGACGCGAAGGTTCCTCCTCTGACTGGCTCTGGCGGAAGGTGCCTCTCGAGGGAATGTGCTTCTGGACGATGTTGATGGGAGCACCGTGGGAGCGGTACACCAGACTGATTGGGTTCATCTGCGAGTCGACAAGCAGCTGGGCAGGCTCCACGGCCACTGCCTGCGCCTGCTGCGGCACGCGGATAAAGTCCACCTTTTGGGTGCGCACTATGGGCAGGGCGCCCAGGCCGGCTCTTCCGCCGCTGAAGCTGGTGCTGGTGAGGAAGCCACCGTCGCCTCCTCCTCCTCCTCCTCCTCCAAGGCTTAGAAGACCACCTCCACCATCACCACCATCAGTTGTGAGGTAACCACCACCACCACCGCCACCTCCTAAAAGAGCTCCACTTGAGAGACTTCCAACAACCAGTCCACCGCCATAGCCGCCGTAGGCGTAGGCAGAGGAGGCGAGCAGGGTCGCAATGAAGCAGACCTAGAAGGGTGATGGAGGTAATTTAAGGGGGTTAGCGTCAATTGTTGAGGAACAGAGGGCAATACTGCACCTTAAACATGTTGTTGTGTAGAGTTTGCACACTGCTGAGGACCAAATGATGGACTACCGCCAGGGCTATCAGTGCCTTTTTATAAGATGTGCACCAATTTGACTGCTCTTCCACGTTTGGCAGCGCAGCAAGCATAGTTGTCAATTGGAATCAGCCTCATTGCGATGGAAAGAGATCACTGTTGATGAAGAGAAAAAGTGAAGCAGCCTGCCGCCACTAAATGAACATACATCTGCTGAAGAGAGAGAAAGAAGGCAGATAGATAGACTGATGCTCGGGGCGATGCATGGCGAGCATCGACACTGAGGATATCCACCGCCATCAGGCCGGCGTTTTCCATCTTCTCCTCATCTTCTGCTCAGTGCACTATCATCCCCTGGATCTTGCNTGAGGATATCCACCGCCATCAGGCCGGCGTTTTCCATCTTCTCCTCATCTTCTGCTCAGTGCACTATCATCCCCTGGATCTTGCTTCCCTGTTTGTAGCTACTTTCACTGTACACTACTATCACACTACTCCCAATGCATGCTCATCTGCATGAATGAAACCAACCTGCCGACACAGCTGCATCTTTGCCGTCTTGTCTCACAACACTGCGGACATCAACACTTTGCCGATGAGTTGCACATGTAGTACAGTGTCATTTACTCCAAAAAATGCTGTTTTCAAATTATAAATACCTTTCTTCACTTTGGTGACTCAATATTTTATACTGACTCTAATTAGTTAAGCAGTTTTTTATTGTAAAAGTAAAGTAATAGTTTTTGTTGGATATCAAAAATAAAAATTTTGAGCAGATTTTGACGGTAATTAGCCTTCATCAGTTATTTCCGCCATCTCAATGTTACTTGACACTGCAGTTTCTACTTCTTCTTTTTTCTTCTTTTCATCTTTTAGAAGAATCTTTGAAAAGAACTGAATTGCTAGTGCGCCAATTGGGGCTGTACAAACAATGCTGAGAACGGCGACAGTGAGGACTATTTTACCACGGTGAATGTCCGTTTCATTTTTGGCATGGTCAAGGGGAACTGGGCCAATAGCCGCCTGAAATGAGTTTAATAAATAGTAAAAACATAAAAACAGACAAAATGTGACGCACCTGAACGGTAGCTTTGGGTAGCCACGCTATAGCGATGAACAGTTTCTCTTTAAAACTGCAGCCTATGTTGAAGGTAAAACCAAAGGAAGCGATTGTTCGCAACAGCATCGCCGATAGTAAGCAAACAATACCGTAGAGTAGCATTTCCGGTTGCAGGTCACGCAAACGAACATCAGAGCCGATAAGAGCGTAGAGCATTGGCTCTAGCACTTGCCACGACATTTTCAGGTTCTCCTCCTGGTAGTCGACTAGGCCAGCTGGGCGCCATCGCAGAGCGGCCACAAAAGACAACACCAAACAGGCCAGTGGCCCGGCACCACTCATGTTGAGGTGTTCGCTTCCAAAGAGCATAAAAATGCCCACTGCTATGAAAAGGACAAGGCGATGGAGGTTGTATTTGTCAGTGGCAGTGCTAACTTGTTTGTCTTCTTTAGGCGCTGTGTGAGGTATATGCCAGAATATGACACCGAAAACGACACCTAATGCAACACCGGATACAGCTTCAACGGGCCCCTTTGCAAAAGACCAAATCAACTGACCAGTTGAGCCATTTTCAGTTTTGGTTGAATCGCTAAAGGCGAGCCCGATCAGCACACTGAATCCTGAAAGTGCGAGCACATCATCTGAAGTAGAGTGAATATGTTACAATGTTTTTTGTATTTGAATTAAATCATACCTATAGACCCAGCAGCAATTAAAAGCGATGGAATTCCTAAAAACAAACATTTAATTATTTGTTTGATGAAAGCAATGAGCCTTTTTTGCAAAAGTGGAATCTCTTTTCTTATTTCAAAATAATCAACTCATTGGACATAAAATGCATTTACTTTCCTTTGTCGACTCCTTTGCCAGCTTCTTGAAGCTTGATCATTTCGGGCACAATGATAGCAGCAGAAACTGCTGCCGTCACAAATCCCAGCATAATTGCCCATACTAGTGGTAGCTCAAAGAGGTAGTAACTTGACAAGGCAATCATGAAGATCTCTACCAGTAGCGGGCCAAATGCCAATCGAAAAGTTGCAAAAGAAAGCTTTCGAATTAGAACTGGATCGAGATGGAGTCCTGCTCGTAGGAGAATCGTCAAGAGGGCAAGTTGTCGAAAGGCAGATGTGAGCTTCTTCTCTAAGCTAATATTTATCGAGTTTCCATAAATAAAACCTGTAAAAAGCAATTTAAAACTTGTTTTTTGCAAAACACAAAATATCTAACCAGAAATCAGCATGCCAAAGAGAGCAGTAAGCTTACAGGCTTCAGTCAGATTTCCAAGGACATAGGCTGCGGCAAACATCACCAGGAGATGAAAACCGGTGCCATTTGGAGGCAGCGCCTCCACGCCAACAAATACCCATAGATTTGCAAAAATCAGGGCAAAAATAAGTAATTTCCAGGCCAAAAGTGCAACGGTAGATTTTGTTGCAACTTTCGCCCAGACATTGTGAAAAGACTTCATCGGTTGTGGAAGACAACAGTTGAGGCAGAATATTTCTTTCAAATTGTTGCACCTGTTTATATACCTCTCTCTGGTTGTTTATCACCACTTTAGGCAAGTTGAACATTGAACAGCTTTTCTTCTGACCTTTAATTTCTTTTGACCTTTTAATCAAAGTTTTATTATTAGTTCCGGACAACAAAGTTTGCATATGGGAAGTACACAGAGCACTTTTTAACAAATTTTGGTTTTTTGTCACATGTTACTATTAACAGACTATGCTTGTATACTTATAAGGTAATAAAAACTTGCAATAA